TTGCACAAAACATGCGCCGAGCCGCAGGCGGGGTCGAGGACGACGCCGTGGTCGGGCTCGATGACGTTGACGATGGTCTGGACGATCGAAGGCGGGGTGAAGAACTCGCCGTTGTCGTGTGCGCCCTGCTTCGAGAACTCGCGACGAAATATTCGTAGATGCGGCCGAACACGTCGCCGGAGGCTGTGCGCAAGCGCCTCGGAATCGAAGGTCCGCATCATCTCTTCCAGAACATCGTCCTCGAAGCGCTGGTAGTCCTTCGGAAGTTGGCCTGCGAGAAGTGGCCTTCCACGGCTTCCATGGCGGCGGTCACGGCGGCGCCGAGACTGCCGTCCTTACGCATCTCGAGCAGAACGTCATAGCGCGCCGCATCGGGCAGCATCAGGGCGCGGCGCCGGGTGAAATCGGCCTCGATCAGCCGGCGCTTCGGCATTCTGCCTGCGGCCCTGTCTTCTTCGATCGCCCGCCATTCGCCTCGTAGTAGCGGTTCGTCGCGTGCCGCAGGAAGATCAGGCCCAGTATCGGCATGAAATACTCGTTCGACGCGAGGTTCGAATTCGCTCGCAGGTTATCCGCGATCTTCCAGAGGTCCGCCTCGAACTGCTGGATGTTGGTCAGGTGGTCTGCGCTCATTCGTTGTCGATCTCTCCTGCAGCCTTGTCGTCTTCTCCGAGGCTGGCGGTCTCCTGAGCCTTGAGCGGCTCGTATTCCTCCACCGACAACACGCTGACGGGCCGAACGTGTGTGGCCAACGCGACGGGCTCGATGCGAGTGAGGTCGATCAGCCGTCCAAAGCCGTATGCGGCGTCTCCCGCACTCGGTGTTTGACGTCAACTTCCCGTCTCTAGAGTGTTTAGTTTTGCCACTTTTACCTTGAAATGCAATTGATTCTCTTTTTCGAGAATTTCCGAAAACCGGAGGTTTGGTCGCTAGGGACATGCCCCACCGCCCTTCGGCCTTGGCGGTGGCTGGCTCCTGGTCCTAGTTGGGCCGTTTCATCGCCAGCCTTTGCACGATACACATGGCCCTATAGGCATCCGTAATGGGAACCCGGTTACTCCTTGTCACCACTTCGTCATTTGCGCTTCCCTGCTCACAAGTGGGGCTTTGTGTTAGACTTCATGGGATGGCGCCGACACGAACCCAACGGGACGACTTGCATCAGGAAGGTGGACCTCATGAAGGTCGATGACTTCCGCGGCGAGGCGGCCAGGTCATCGCCCGGCACGCGGAGCTGGAACGCGAGGCGGTGGAGCGGATGCTGACGGTGCCGCCGAAGCCGGACATGGGCGATTTCGCCTTCCCGTGCTTCACCCTGGCCAAGAAGTGGCGCAAGGCCCCGCCGCTCATTGCGCAGGAGATCGCGGAAAAGGCGTCCGGGGACCTGGACCTGCTATGCGGCGCCAAGGCCCTCGGCGGCTACGTCAACCTGTCGGTGGACCGCGCCCGCTTCGCGGATGCGGTGCTGCGCGAGGCGACCTCCGCGGCGAGGCGTACGGCCGCGTGCGAGGACGGGGCCGGCCAGACCATCGCCATCGACTACTCCTCCCCGAACATCGCCAAACCCTTCCACGTGGGCCACCTGCGCTCCACCATCATCGGCGGGGCGCTGGTGCGGATCTTCGAGGTCCTGGGATACAAGGTCATCGGCATCAACCACGTGGGCGACTGGGGCACCCAGTTCGGCCGGCAGATCGCCGGCCTGATGCGGTTCGGAAAGCCCGAGGACGCCGACGACCTGATGAGCCTCAACCGCCTCTACGTCAAGTTCCACGAGGTGGCGGACAGCGACCCGGAGCTGGTGGAGGAGGCACGGGAGTGGTTCCGTCGCCAGGAATCGGGAGACCATGTGGCGCTGGCGCTTTGGCGCCGCATCCGCGACACCAGCCTCGACTACTTCAAGCGGATCTACGAACGGCTCGGCGTGCGCTTCGACTCCTACACGGGAGAGTCGTTCTTCAACGACAAGATGGACGTGGTCATCGAAGAGGCCCGAGCCAAGGACTTGGCCACGGTCTCCGACGGCGCCCTCATCATCGACCTGTCGGAAGAGGGCATCGACACGCCCGCCCTGCTGGAGAAGGCCGACGGCACGACGCTCTACCTTACCCGGGACGTGGCCGCGGCCAGGTACCGCCACGACACTTACGGCTGTGACCGCATCGTGTATGTCGTGGCCAGCGGCCAGTCGCTGCACTTCCGGCAGCTCTTCACGGTGTTGAAGATGCTCGGGCACGCGTGGTCCGAGGACTGCGTGCACGTGAACTTCGGGCTGGTCCAGGGCATGTCCACCCGCAAGGGCAACGTCATCTACCTGGAGGAGTTGCTGGACGAGGCCCGGGACCGGGCGCTGGCGTACATGCGCGGTCAGATCGAGAAACGGCTGGAGCTCGAGGACGAGGAGACCGTGGCCGAGGCCGTGGGCATCGCCGCCATCTTCTTCGCCGACCTGTCAAGCAGCGGATCAAGGACTATCGTTTCGATTGGGACCTTGCCATCTCCTTCGAGGGCGACACCGGCCCCTACCTCATGAGCGCCCACGCCCGCATCGCCGGCATCCTGCGCAACTGCGGACTCGAACCGGACCCCGATGCCGGCGTGAGCCCGCTGGTGGAGCCCGAGGCCCATCGGCTGGTGAGCCTGGTGGCCCGCTACCCCGAGGTCACTCCGGGAGGCGGCGCGCCAGTACGAGCCTTCGGTGCTGGCCAACTACCTGCTGGAGCTGGCCCGGGGCCTGCACGCCAGCTACACGGTGTTGCGGGTCAAGGGCGAGGAAGCGGGCAAGGCGCAGGCCCGGCTGCTGCTGTTCACCGCGGTGAAGCAGGTGCTCCGGAGCGGCCTGACCATCCTCGGGATCCGGCCGTTGGAGCGGATGTAGTTCGTGAAACTGTTGCTGACCAACGACGACGGCATCGATGCTCCCGGCCTGGAAGTGCTGGAACGGGCCGTGCGCGAGTGGGGCGAGGTCGTGGTGGTAGCGCCGGCCGAAGGGCAGTCCGGCGTGGGCCATCAAGTGACCACGGACCGGCCCATCGCGGTGGAGTGCATCGGCACCGGACGATACAGCGTCCAGGGGACCCCCGCGGATTGCGTTCGGGTCGGGCTCACGGAGATCGCCCCCGATGCGTCCTGGGTGCTGGCCGGGGTGAATCGAGGCGCGAATCTCGGTGCCGACATCTACATCTCGGGCACGGTGGCGGCGGCACGGGAAGCCGCGCTGCTGGGTTGCCGCGCCTTGGCCATTTCCCAGTACATCGTGAAGGCGCGGCCGCTGGATTGGGAGATCGTCTATCGCAGGGCGGTACCTCTGCTCAGGCGGCTCCTGACCCGCGAGTCGGCCCAGGGCGAGTTCTGGAACGTGAACCTGCCGCATCCGGCCACCGATGCCGACGTGGGCGTCGTGGCCTGCGCCTTGGACACCCGGCCCCTTGGCGTGGCCTATCGGAAAGAAGCGGGGGCGTTCGTCTACCAGGGGGACTATCACAAACGTCCGCGGCAGCCCGGTCGGGATGTGGACGTGTGCCTGGGTGGCCGTGTAGCCGTGACGAAGCTCGTGCTGGACATCGCCGGACCGGCGGTGAACCCTGGCTCGTGCGAATTGGATGAGGCGGGAACCGGTTTTCCGGCAGCCGGCCCGGTTAAAGTGTTGTAGAGGCGGGTTTCAAGCCCGCGGGTGTTTGATGGCGGGCGGGTTCGAAACCCGCCCCTACGGAGGATCCGTGAACTATGTCGACGTGTTCCGGACGGTAGACGTCTCCACCTTGGCCGTGATCAAGTCCGTCCTGGACGGAGCCGGCATCACCTACGTGGTCCAGGGAGAATCGGCGCTGACTTTGCTGCCGGTGGGGCCGTTGTGGGGTAGCTTCGGCTCGGCCGGTGCCGCCGCGGTCATCCAGGTGCCGGAAGAAGAGGCCGAAGACGCCTTGGAGTTGCTGCACGAAGTCGCCGAGCCGGACGGTTCCGAGCCGGACGGTTCCTAGCAGGCTGTGTCCGGTTAATTCGCAGGATAATTGCGGGTCTTTTTGGCCGTCGGCTGCGTTGCTCTTCCTCGCGCTGTGGCCGCCCTGGGGCGACCGCAGGTCGCCCCTACAAGTCATCGCGCCTTGCCGACGACAAAAAAATCCTCCGCACCTTATCATGCGAATTAACCGGATAGGACACTAGCCCTTCCTCTTGTGTCCCTCCTTTTACGGTGGGCCTCGGTAGGGGCGACCGGCCGGTCGCCCTCTGCATGAGATGGCCCGGACAGGTCTCTAGCGCCTGCGCTCGGCGACGAGCCGGAACAATTCGGGAAAGAGTGACGGATTGGCGGCGATGACGCCGTTACGCAACGTATCGGGTTGATTGAACGAGAAGGGCCGTCCGTCCAGGTTCGTGACCTTGGCGCCGGCTTCCTCCGCCAGCAGCACTCCCGCGCACACGTCCCATTCGTTCTTCGGCGCGAGGCTCACCGTCAGGTCGGCGCGGCCGCCGGCCACCTCCGCGAGCTTGTGGGCGATGCTGCCGGTGGGGGTGATCTTGAGGATTTCCTCCAACCCCGCGAAAAAGCCGCGCCGGGTCTCGCGCCTGCTGGCAACCACGCTGGCGCCGTTCAGTTGCGAGCGTTCCGTCACCCGCACCGGCTGCCCGTTCTGGAAGGTTCCGGAGCCGCGGCTGCAATAGGTGATGCGTGCGGCCGCGGGGTTGCACGTCACGGCCAGCACCGGTTCGGTGCCCCGCACCAACGCCACGGACACGGCGAACTCATCGATCCCCTCGATGAATTCCTTGGTCCCGTCCAACGGGTCCACGATCCACACCCACTCCTTTTGCAGCCGCTCGCCGTCATCCGCTGATTCTTCCGACAGCCAGCCGGACTCGGGGAACGCGCCGAGCAGTGTCTCCTGCAACAGGGTGTTGGCCTCGATGTCCGCGGTGGTGACGGGGTTGCCGCCGCTCTTGTGCTGGATGGTGTATTGCGACCTGTAGTAGGAGAGGAGCTTTTCTCCGGCCTTGTTTGCCGCCTCTCGTGCCGTTGTCAGTGCTTGCCGGAGGTCCATGACGTTGTCTCCTTGAGGTTCGTGACGTCGGCAAGGCGGCCGTCAGACCGCAAGTTCCACCAGTTTCGGTCGCAGGCTTCGGGTGTTCACCCGGATGGTCGCCACGGCGACGGGCAGGGTGAAGCGCCTGGGTCCGGCGCTTCCGGGGTTCAGGTAGATGACCCCGTCGCGCCGTTGCATGGACGGTTTGTGCGAGTGCCCGCTGATCACCATACGGCAGCCGTCCGGAACGGCGGCCAGGGCCTTGACGTTGTGGATCACGTGAATAAGGACACCCGCCACCTCCACGGTTCTCTCCTCGGGCAGTTCGTCAGCCCAGGCGCCTCCGTCGACGTTGCCGCGTACCGCCGCCACCGCGGCCAGCGAGCCCAGGCGCTCCAGCACCTCGGGTGCGCCCACGTCGCCGGCGTGAATGATCAGGTCCGACCCTCGGAGGGCTTCCAGAGCCTCGGGCCGCACCAGGCCGTGAGTGTCCGAGATGACGCCGATACGGCAGGGCGGCGCGTAGTGTGGGTCCGGGTCGCCACGCTCGTGGTCAGGCTAGTGTGGTGTCTCACAAATACGGTTATGAAGCTGCGAGGGCATTTTGGTTGTCGGCAAGGCGTCCTTCGACTTCGCTTCGCTACGCTCAGGACGTGTAGGGGCGGACGGCGGGTCGCCCCTCAGTGGCGTGCACCACGCGAGGAAGAGCAACGCAGCCGACGGCCAAAAGGACCCGCAGATTCATAACCGTATTTGTGAGACACCACACTAGGCTACCCGGATCACCCGCTTGCCCTGCATGAGCTCGGGGTCGTGGTTGGGAAATGCCAGCTCCGGACGCGACGCCGTTGCGAGCGCCCGGTCCAGGGCCACGCACCGAGTCCGGCAGGTTGGAAGTACCAGCCCACCGGGAGGCGCTCACGGAGGTTCCGGTAGGTGTAGGCGATGTCGCCGCAGAGCACGGCCTTTCCCTGGGCCGTCTCCACCGCCACCATCTGCGATCCGGGGGTGTGGCCGCCGGCCTTCAGCAGCTCCACTCCGGGAGCCAGCTCGTGGTCGCCGTCCACCAGGGTGACACGGCCGTCGTCGACGAGGCGTTGCAGCGCCGGACGCACCTTGGGCCGGACCAGCTTGTTCAGGTAGTCGAAACGCATCATCGGGCCGGTCCAGAAATCGTACTCGTCCTTCTGGATGACGAAGTTCGCCTTGGGGAAGAAGTCGAAGCCGGTGAAGTGATCCACGTGGAAGTGGGTCACGATGACGGTGGCCACGTCTTCCGGGCGCATCCCAGCTCGCCCAGCAGCCGGGACGGCTCCATGAACTGAATCCCCTGGGCCCACTCCGCGGTGACGTAGTCCGGATGGTAGGCGGTGTCCACCACCACCGGACCGTCCGGGGTCTCGATGCACCAGATGATATAGGGAACCGGTTCGTCCCGCTCCGCATCGCTGCGGATGCACGGCATGATGCCCGAATGGCGCCAGTTCTCCGCGATGCCCACGGTCATGGCGAAAATGGCATGGTCCATCAACGTTCTCCCCGCTACAGGCCGTTAGTCGGGTTAGCCTAACAGCCGCACCCACGCCCGTCCACCGGGCCTTGTGCACCGACAACAAAAGTCGTGCGCCTCTTCATCACATACTTGAACGGCAGGACACTAGTGTCGTGTCCCGCAAATTCCTGCAATAATTTGCTTGTTTGCCGTCGGCTGCGTTGCTCTTCCTCGCGTGGTGCACGCCACACGGGCGGGTTTGAAACCCGCCCCTACAAGTCATCGCGCCTTGCCGACAACAAAAATCCTGCGCAACTTATCGCAGGAATTTGCGGACACCACACTAGGGAAACTCTGACTATTTGCCATGTCAGGGTGTGGCTGTCGTAGGGGCGGGTTTCAAACCCGCCCGCGCACGTTGTCGCGCCGAATCCCGGGTTGACGAGGGTAACAGAGTCTCCTGGTTTTCCTGTATCCACGGCACCGTGTATACTCCGCCGATGGTCAGAGAGAAGGCCGTCAGCCAAGGGGGCATGGCGGAAAGCGACAATGCCACCCGGGAGGCCGTGGCCCCGAGTCGAGGGAGAGGTGCCCGGTGAACGGCGTGCCGGCGGCGGCCGAGTTGCGGGAGATGCTGTCCGAGGCCTGCGATATCGTCCGGCAGACGCGGGCGTTGATCGAGGCGCGCTGGAAACGGGGTTCACCCATCGCTCCAAGGCCGACGGGAGCTTCGTGACGGACGTCGATATCGCGGTGGAGGAGAAGGCCCGTACGCTGCTGGCGTCGCGCTTTCCGATGCATGGCATCATCGGCGAGGAGTTGTCCGAAATCGACAGTGGCCACGCGCTGACCTGGGTTATCGATCCCATCGACGGCACCAAGAGCTTCCGGCACGGAGTGCCCTTGTACGGCACGCTGTTGGCCCTGCTCCACGGTGAAGACCCGATCCTCGGGGTCATCGACCTGCCGGGCCTGGACAGGACCTACAGCGCCGCAAGGGGGCTCGGGACCCGTTGCAACGGCCGGCCCGTGACCCTGGAGGATCTCCCCGGCGACGAGCCATGGAGAAGGAGATCATCGGCATCGGTGACCGGCACCAGTTCGTCAGCGCCGGCCGGACGAAGGTGTTCGACGGGTTGATGCAGGCCCATCCCGGGGTCCGGACCTACACCGACTGCTTCGGCCACGCCCTGGCCCTGGAGGGCGCCGTCGGCGCCATGGTGGATTTCGATCTCCGGCTGTGGGACACCATGGCCAGCAAGGTGTTGATGGAGGAGGCGGGCGGCCGTTACGTATGCTCCCAACGGGCCGGTAAGGAGCTGCGCGAACGCCGTTTCGACGTCATATTGGGCAAGCCCCGGGTGGTGGATTGGATACTCGACCGCATCGCGGTGGACCGGAACGACCCGGGCGAGTCATAGACTGAAACTCACGCCAGGAGGTACTTCTTGAGACAACATGGAGCGGCACTTAAGTGCCTGGTAGCAGCAATCGCTTTATTCCTGAGCGCCGCGGCGTTCAGCACAACAGCAGCGGGAGGAGACAGGCCTGTGGTGATTTTTTCCACGTCGATGGGCGATATCACGATCGAACTCATGTCCGAGGAAGCCCCGATCTCGGCGAAGAACTTTCTCGACTACGTCGATGCCGGATTCTTTGACGACACCATCTTTCATCGGGTCATTCCCGGTTTCATGATTCAGGGCGGCGGCTTTACCGAAGACATGAACCAGAAGCCGACCCAGGCGCCCATCAAGAACGAGGCCGACAACGGCGTCAAGAACACCCGGGGCACGCTGTCCATGGCGCGCACGTCGGACATCAACAGCGCCACCACCCAGTTCTTCATCAACCTCAAGGACAACGAGTTCCTCGACCACGGCACCCGGGACTTCGGCTACGCCGTGTTCGCCCGGGTGGTGGAGGGCATGGACGTGGTGGACAAGATCGCCGGCGTGCAAACCGGCAACCGCGGATCCCACAGCGACGTCCCGAAGGAGGCCGTCGTCACCACCACCGCCCGTCGCAAGCAGCCGGCGCAATAGCCTTCCACAACGTCCCTTCGTTCGCCCGTTGGCAGCCTCTTCTCCGGAGTTTCCCCACTTCCAGCGGCTGTCTTCGGGCGTCTCTTTATTTCCCTTTCCCCTCGTTCGCCCGTTGGCGGCCTCTTCTCTTGGTTAAGTTCTCTTAGTTAAGTTTCCCCACTTCCAGCAACTCTCTTCGGGCGCCTCTTTATTTCCTTTTGTTGGCGTATGTTGACTTACGCGCGCTAAATTAGCTAACGCACATAAACTTGACGGTACGCCAAAATTTACTATGGAGAAATTTGAGAAGACTAAGACACTTCCTGTGATGGATATCGTCCAGCTTGGGAAAGATACGTAGAAATTGTTGTGTTCCGCCGGTGCGTGCGCGGAACGTGTCGCTCAGCGAAGGCGGCAGCACCGGCACAACTCGTTAGGGGATGTTTCAATGTACCGACGGATCTGGCTCTGCACCCTTTTTCTGGCTTGGTTGGCGACGGTCTCGGCAGCCGGTGTGCACGCGGCGACATGGACCTTCACCCCGGAGTTGAAGCGGCTCGGCGCCGATGACGCGGCGCTGCCCGACGGCGAGGTCAAGGTGGTGCGTGAAGGCCTGCGGGCTCGGCTGTACATGAAGGTGAGCACCGACGGCGTCAATCCGATCAACGATTCGGCGCTGGGGTTTGATCAAGTGTCCGGCGCGATCCACTTCTCCAGCGACGCATTGGGACTGGGAGCCATCGGGCCGATCGTTCTGCAGCTCCGGGACGGCGCCGGGTGGGAACGGCGCATGTCGGACGCGACGACGATGTCGGACGTGACGACGTTTCGCGAGAGCGCCGACCTGCGCCTCGGACCGCCGGGAGTCTCGAGCAACGAAGCCAACTGGATTTTCTTTTGGACCGACGTGACAAAACACCCGACGATGATCCGCGCGGTGCCTGGTGTACGCCGGAGTCGGGTGGGAGTTGCGAGATCTTCCTCGGAGTGCTGGCGGTGCCACTCGCCGGTTTGCCGGAGGATGCCTCCGGAGCGCTCACCCTGGGCGTGGGCGGGCTGGACTCCGCGCAGGAGATCCAGGTCAACGCCATGTACGGACGCGCCACCGCCAACCCCCGGCCCGGCAACTCCGTCACCTACACCATCTGCCCCGCGTCCGGTTGCCCCGTGGAGTTGACCCCTGTGGTGGCGAGTTTCGGCGAGGCGACGTATGCGGCGGGCGAAGGCGAAAGCGTCGAGGTGACCGTGATGCTCGACGCGGCGCCGGGCCGCGAGGTCACGATTCCGATCATGCCCGGCATGGGCGTGAGCGCGGACCTGTACGACTTGTCGGCGGAGTCCCTCACCTTCGGGCCGGATGAGACCAGCCGGTCCTTCACGGTGACGGCCATAGAGAACAACGCGGACGGGGACGCGGACCACGAGGCCGTGGAGCTGGTCCTGTCCTTCGGCACTCTGCCCGCCTCGGTGACCAGCACGGTGGCGCAGTCCAACGCGATCGTGACCATCACGGACAATGACGACCCCAGCGTCACGGTGGCGTTCGGCCGCGCGGAGTACGCGGCCATGGAAGGGGGCGACTCTGTGATGGTGACGGTTACCCTGAGCGCCGCGCCGGAGCGTGAGGTGACGGTTCCGATCACGGTGCAGCCCCAAGGCGGAGCCTCCCCGGGCGATCACAGCGTGGTGCCGGCGTCGGTGACATTCGGGCCGGACGAAACCGTGAAGAGCTTTGCGGTGACCGCGGTGGAAGAGGACGACCGCGACCGGAACGAGAGCCTGACGCTGGCCTTTGGCGCTTTGCCGGAAGGAGTATCCGAGGGCAACCCTGCCAGCGCCACCGTGATGCTGCTCGACAACGACACCGGGGTGGCGCTGATCGTCATGCTCGGGACGCCGTCCGCCACGTCCGTGGACGAGGGCGGATCGGTTGAAATCCCGGTGACGGTGCATCCGGCCCCCGAACAGGCGCAATTGACGGTGACCTACGGGCTGACCACGGGCACCGCCGCGGCCGCGGACTACAACGACGAGACCGGCGGCAGCGTCACCATCGCCCCGGGCGACACCGCCGGAATGATCCGGGTGACCATCGCCGACGACAACCTGTCGGAGCCGGCCGAGACCTTCCGGGTGATGCTGACGGACGTTGTCTCCAACGACGAAGAGAACGAGCCGGCCGAGTTGGGTCCCGAGGCGTCGCTCAGCGCCGACGTGACCATCTCCGCCAACGACCCGCTGATGGCGTCGCTGTCGGGACCGGCACGGGTGAGCGAGGGCCAGACAGCCACCTACACGCTGACCCTGGAAGGCGGCGTCGGCACCACGGACGTGACCGCGACGCTGGCCGTCGGAATGGCATCCACGGCTAACCGAGACGACTACGAGAGCGTCCCGTCCACGGTGACCGTGACCGCGGGCGAGTCCGAGAGGACTTTCGAGGTCGCCATCGTCGATGACGGCAGGGGCGAAGGCGAACAGCTTCTGGTGCTGGAGATCGTCCGGGTGGAGGGCGGCGGCGGCGGCATCTCGGTCAACCCGGCCGCCCGCAGTGTGCGTACGACCCTCATCGAAGTGGACCTGGACGGGCGCGCCCGCGCCATGAAGTTCGCGCTGGCGGGCTTCGGGCGTCTTCTGGGCGACGATGTGGTGGACATGATCGGTGAACGGGCCGAGGCGCGGGACGCCGCGTCCGGCGGCTCCTACGTGAGGCTGGGCGGCCGGCCCCTTACCCCCGCCGGGGGGGCGTCCGGTGAAAGCGCCGGCGCCATGGGCTGGGTCGGCGGCGCGGTGAAATGGCTCGGCGTGGATTTCGATGACTCGGCATCGCTGGCCCGTGACGTGCAGAGGGTAGCCACTTCCGAAGGCTACCGCGTCATCGAACTGCCCAGCGAGCGGGACCTGATGTCCAAGAGCGCGTTTCGGTTGGTTCTCAATCAAGGCGCCAGGGGCACGTCCGGCAAGGGTGGGGACCTGTGGACGCTGTGGGGCCGGGGTGACCTGGGCCGCTTCGACGGCCGTTTCGACGGTGACTTCTCGATGGAGGGAGACGTATTCGCCACCCACCTGGGTGTGGACTACCGCCTGGCGCGCGGGCTGCTCATGGGCGTGGCGCTGAGCCGCCGGCGGGGCACGGTGGACTATGCCATCCGTGGCGCCGGCCGCAACGACGGCAAGATCGAGCTGGACCTCAACAGCGTCCATCCCTATCTGCACTGGTCCCCCAACCAGCGTCTGAGCCTGTGGGGCACGCTCGGAGTGGGCCGGGGCGGAGCAGGGTTGACGGACGATAGCGGCGATGTCGACACCGACCTCAAGATGATGATGACCGCGGCGGGAACGCGCGGCGAGTTGCTGTCCCTGGGGGGCGTCAACCTGGCGCTCAAGGCGGACGCTTTTCAGGTGCGGCTGGACGCGGACGGGCGTGAGGAACTGCCCGAGGCACAGGCCGAGTCTTCGCGGTTTCGACTCGTGCTGGAGGGCCGCTCGGCCATGATGCTGGACGGAGGCGCGCGGATGACGGGCGGAGCCGAGGTCGGCGTGCGGGTGGACGCGGGCGACGCCAGCACCGGCGTGGGCACCGAGTTGGGCGCCAATGTGGGTTACGCCCATCCGGGGGGCCTGAACATCGTGGCGCGGGGTCGGTTCCTGCTCACCAACGGGGAGAACGAGTTCGACCAGTGGGGGGCGGGCGTGGAGGTTACCCTCGATCCGGGAGCGTCCGGGCGCGGCCTCCAGTTCTCTCTGGTCCCCACCTACGGGAAGGCGTCGAGCGGCATGGATGATCTGTGGCACGGCGACAAGGGACCGGACGCTCTCCTGGGGAGCGACACGGACAACGATCTGGCGTTGGCCGCAAGGGTCGGCTACGGCATCGACCTGCCCGGCCCCCGCGGGGTGCTGACGCCGTTTGGTGAGATGAGCCTGAGGGGTGGAGACTCGCGCCGGCTGCGTCTGGGCGCCGAGATCGGGCGCTGGAGGCTGGGCCGCTCGGCCCTGGCGCTGGAGTTCTACGGCGAGCAGAACGACGGGGGCGGCGACCGCGTCGTCGACCGCCGTGTGGTCATGAACGCGCGCTGGAGCTTCTGACAAAGGGCGGAAGCGGAATCGAGTGACACCCCGACGCGGCGGATCGTCGATCCAAAGCGGAGAGCGGTCGAATATTCCCGACCTTGCAGGGGAACGGAATCCGGGAGGGAGCACCATGAATGCGGTCTACCGTAGTGCCCCGCGTGCGCAAGGGTTTATTGACGGGACTGTGCCGTGCGGCAGCCGTCCTTCTGCTGGCGCTGACGGCGCTGTCGGCTTTGGCCGGAGGCGGCGCGGGCGCAGTTATTCGTCGTGCCGGTCACCGGGAAGCCGAATGTGGGCAATACGCTGACCGCGGACACGTCCGCCTTAATTGTGGATCCTGGTTTTAGCCTCGGGTACCAGTGGTATGCGGTCCCCGAGGTAGTGATCGAAGGGGCGACGAGCAAGAGTTACACTATCGAGGAGGCGCAACTGGGTAACCGCCTCAAGGTGAAGGTGGGGTATTACTTTGGCGGCATGCGCGTTTTTGAGTTCGAGAGTCAGGAAACGGTCGTTGTGCTCGCGGCAGGCGCCAATCACCGGCCTGTGGGAAGACCCTCGTTCTTCTACAGTGGAGAGGATGTTCGTGACGGCGAAAATGATCTGCGGGTGGGAGACGAACTGCTTGAGGGCGGGTGGAACATCGAGGATCCCGACGGTAACGGCAACCTGACGGCCGCGAGAGCGGACACTCGGAGCTATACGTGGCTGGCAGACGATGTCGTGGTAAAGCTCGGCGGCAAGGCCTACACGCTTGACGGCTGCGGATGCGGGCAAGCGCATCAAGCTGCGCTTTACCTTCACCGACAGCGAAGGCGTCGTCGAGACCGTCACGAGCGATGGGTATGGACCGGTCCGCTGGCGGTTGGCGGCCACCGGGCAGCCCACGATCACCGGTCGCTACCGGGTCGACGACACGCTGACCGCGGGGACTTCGACGTTGAACGATC